TTGCCTTAGAAGGAGTTATCCACCACTCAAGCAAGCTTAAAAACACGTCCTTCATCCAGTTACCTAGTGCTCAGCAAGATCAGCATGGATTTAGGGCTAGTGCCAAGGAAGAAGTAGAAAGTATCAGAGAGCTCCTTGCGACTGCTTTGGATCACATAGGCAATGATAGAATTCAGAGAGGATTAGAAAAAGTTTGGTATGGGCTGAAGGGCCCAAAGCCTTTTATGGAAAAGATAGAAACAGGAAACAGGGACTGTACTCCTTCACTGTGCTCTTCAACATATGAACGACTCTCCTGTGATTAGAGAGGGTCTCTAAAACTCTGTAGAGATGAGAGCTGGGATGCTCCTAATTTTTCAGGAGAGAATGAACTGGGGAGAAGACTATTTGTTAGATGCGACTCTGTTATAAAATAATCAACAGCTTTTCTTCCCAACCTCGCGCCAGTACAGCAACTTGATAGGAGACCAAGCTCCTTAGTAGTATCCTAAGTTGCAGGCATCCTCCCCAGCCTCATTTTTGTTAGTTACCTCTACTGTGCTTTCAGTGGTGTGGCCTCCTCTCTATTAGTCCCTGAAAAGTCTGCATCACTGCCACCTCTCACTGCTGGGCACATCACCACCTCTTAGCTGCATTCATGATGGTTTTGTTATCTGAGTGTGTGTGTGTGTGTGTGTGTACTGTGTGTGTATTGTTTAAAAAACTTTTACATATTAGCTTACCTCATATATCCATAATCATATGAGGGAATTTAAACAAAGCAAATCTAGAACACTTGAAGTTTCCCACACCCTTTCATAGGACAACGTTATTTAATCCCTGCTCTGTGTAGCAAATGAAATTGGGACTCAGTGTAACATGTGCAATTCACTGTGTATAATACCCGGTATTAGAGGATCCTTGTGCTATGTTGCCATTCTTAAACCCTAATAAATGAGCTGGCAAAATTGTAAATTATTTACAGATTTTTGTCTCATTCATGTGTCAAACAGTTAATTGACCTAAAACCTATGAAAAGTATATGGAGCTTTTGTAAACAACGTGAAAATGAGAAAAATGAAAATATGCATGAGTGACATTTCTTTAAGAAATAAAGTAATTAAAAATGCTATAATGTAAGGGTATGTGTTTAAGAACTACTGAAGATTTAAATTATATATTAAAGAGAAAGCACTTAAATTTCAGAAATTACTTCTGTAACTTTTCACATAAAGATTTTATGTAACTTTGTGGTTTTTCAGGGAGTCAGGGTCCAGAGAGGATGAGGATTTTGAGTGCTGGGGGCGTATTTACAAGAGCATCAACTGCACAACTGGGTATTATTTTTCAAAGGTGACTTAAATTTGCAAATGCAGGGGGTATTAACTTGGAAGACTGGGGAAAAGGATTAAAACAGAAGTTCTGTAATATGTATATATGAAGTATCTAAATCATAGTTTCATTGTGGTTGTGTTGAGACACACAAAAGTGTTCAGAGAGATAACCAGGGAGCTCTGCAGTGATCTTCCCTGCTTCCTATCAGCTATCCTTCCAATCTGAGGAGTTTTCTTACTGGATGGAATGCTCAGACTTTTAAATAGTTTTCAGTATTATCCTCTGACAACACAGTTTAAGCATAATGGACACTGATGAGAATGAAATACTACTTTTTAAATAGACCCATAGTTTAAAATCGTCAGAGAAAGTCAAGTTAAATATTTAAGTTACAGATATGCCCACTGAAATATGAGAGTAAGTTGTGATCATTTAGGAACTGAATAAAGGAAAACCCATTTCAAAGTATACATGATTAAGAATTTCTATGTTGTAATACTTAACCGTGTTATGAAATGTACATATATTTGTGATTTTATGTTTCCTGCTTCATCCTCAAATCATTAATTCTAAAAGGCTGAGTCTGTGCTGGTTTTTGTTCACATCTGTATCTCTGATCTAGCATGCTCTCCCATGTATGCCTCATAATGCAGTAATTCATAAATTGTAGGGCATTAGGGACTAAGTAATTAATGAAGAAATTTATAATTTTCTCCAAAGTGCTTTTATTGAAAAGGAGTAACACAGAACAGAATGGAAAATATTCTTCTATATTTGTGTGTGCATTTTACAGATATATTCAAATATAGCAATGTAAATAGATTCCTATACCCTGGAAGACTTTGGGAAGAGGACAACTTGAGTGTAATGGCTACTTAGTTCCTGTAGTACTGAGCGACTGTCATCAAACCTGCATGAAATTATTTGACTCAAATCATAAACAAGTTAGAGAAGTTTCTTTGGCAAGGCAAGTTTAAATGAGAGGCCAGTCAGTTGAAGGCCTGACTAGAATGAAATCAGCCATAAATGGAAAGTTAGGAGGGGATTCTGTGGCTCATTGTTTCTGAAGTTGATGTGTACAATGGACTCCTCTAGGTTTTCGAGCCTGCTTGGTCACACTGAAGATTTAGAATTCATAGCCTCTGTGTGTGTGTGTGTGTGTGTGTGTGTGTGTGTGCGTAGATGTGTATTGATTTTGTTTTTCTCAGAATGGAATGAACCAGGGGTGGTGGTGCATGCCTTTAATCCCCGCCCTTGGGAAGCAGAAGCAGGTGGACATTTGCAAGACTGAAGTCAGCCCGGTCCACATTGTGAGTTTCAGGCAGGCTAGAATAAGGGATAGCCTGTAGAAAACAACAACATCAGCAACAACAACAACAGTAACAACAACAAGATGACTACAACCACTAAAATTTTTTTGTTCATATTTTTTGAACATTTCATTTCAAGGGACTTATGGAATAAGGGAGTCTACCTAAAGTACACTCACTTTTAAAAATGTTTACCTAATTACATATTTTATAAATGTATCCTATTAGTATAACATACCCCATAAATATGTACAAAACTAAGGTTACAGCATTTTATACATGTGTATGAAAATTACCCTAAAATACCACTATTACATACAGTACATATACACTAATAGAGAATAAAAGAAAAATTTATAATTTACATATTTAATTTATTAAACTCACGTGTTTGAAGATACAACTAAGGAACCAGATTATATTAAGAACTTAAATTCTGTTCCCCTGAGCGAACAAGTTTCATGAAGCATTTATGCTAACATTTTGAATTAATTTGGAAGAATTTTCTGAATACTTGTAAAGCCAAATTCTCTCTTGGGAGGCCCACACTGTGTACACGCTCAGCTCCCAGGCCCACGCTGTCCTTACCACTGGGCCAACGAACCAATACAATGTCCCTCTAAGCTACAGTTTGGGGAATAGAGGTATTTATTTGGGCTTGACAACAAAGCTTGTGATATCCGGGAGAGGGTTCCTTACAAAGGCATGCACCTGTGGGCTTTTTTCCCTATATCTCAGCTAGCTTTCAAGATAAGATGTTGAACTTCCTGCCGCCTTCCTGGTTTCCTCCATGTTTGTTCTTACACCACCCCCCTCAATGCAATTGAAGCTAATTGGGTTGGAGCGGTGACTGTATCTCCCTCTGTGTACAGAGCCTCTTAGTGTTCAGTCATTCAGCTGTTGATGATTGTTTTGGAGGACATGCCTATCCAACAATATTTCAAGTCTATATACAACAGAAGTAACATTTCCGACAAATAGTGAAATCACTTAGTATTAATAACACACAAACATAGTCTAAGACATTCTAAAAGTCACTACCATGCATCCAACTATATTTTATTATAATATCTATCTTTCTGTTTTCATATTACTCTTTATATATGATACTAGAAAGACAGTTATTCCATAAGAAATTAAAATGAACATGCACTTATGTCAACCAAGCTTACAGTATCTAAATATGTACTGGTTCTTATTTAAAGAAGGGAACTTTCTTGATTCCCTTAAAATGATTAAAACTGAATTCCTGGACATAGAGTGTTCCTGATTTAAAAAGGAGAATATGTGTTTTTGATACTGATGAGTTATAAGAATATATTTGTCATAATAGTTTTACTTTATTTTAGGTGTGCGAGTGTTTTGCCTCCATGTATGTGAGTTCACCCATGTCATACAATGCCGTGGAGGTCTAAAGAGGGCTTTGGATTCCCCTGGAACTGGAGTTAAGGGCAGTTTTCTGCCATGTGGGTGCTGGGAATCGACTTGGGTCTTCTGCCAGAGCAGTCAGAAAATGTTTCCTTCTAGGATGATGCATTTTCTAGTTATACTCATTTAGCATAAAATACTGATGTTCTTTCCCTGTAGTTAATCAATTTGAGTTCTTAACATTACAAAAAAATGACTTTTATTAAAAAATTCAGATCATCAGGTGGAAAATTAATATAATGTATAGGAAACCAGAGAAGGAATTGATATATATTTGCAAACGTTAGCTATTCAGAATGACACAGTCTGTCCTGCTTCTACTGAGTTACAGTTGGTTATAACCAGTATTGACTGTGTCCTTTGTTGGACAGGTATGTGACCACCAGTGTGGATGGTCATCCTTTCTGCAATTTTTTCTCTTGCTTTTTTTTGGGTTTATTTGGGTAACTCATAGTTGTCTATCCCCTTCCTTTAGCAGCAAAGCAGGCTGGGTGACTGTCAGGTGAGCATGAGGGATGCAGGATGCACACCTGAACTAGACTAGGGAAAGTGGGAAGGTAGGAGAACACTGGTGCTCTGATGTTTGCAGGTCTGATGGGTGCACTGGGGTGTTGGCCTACCTAGAACTGGGGGCTGGGATGGTAGAAAGGTAACCCTGGTGTTGGGGAACTCACAGTTTTGGAAGGATTCACATGTCTGAGTAGCATGGCTCAAACTGCTCAGGAGCTTGGATGGTAGACAGGAAACTCATTATGATTTCTCTATCCCCTTCCTTCCTTCCTTCCTTCCTTCCTTCCTTCCTTCCTTCCTTCCTTCCTTCCTGGAAGGGAGGATGGAAATAATTTAGCTTACATTACATTATGATGGATATCAGCAGCATTTTACTTGAAATACAAATAACTCATTAAAAAATGTCTATGCTTCTCATTAGAAAGAAATAATATTGATTTACTTGAAGATTTTATTTAGAGCTTCTTTTACATCCTTATTCCTCAGACTGTATATCAAGGGGTTCAACATGGGAAACACCACTGTGTAAAATGTTGAAACAATTTTGTCTGTATCTAATGCATAGCTTGTTCTAGGGCGAGAGTAGATGTAGAGAATGGATCCATAGTACAAGGTCACAGAGATGATGTGTGAAGAGCAGGTGGAGAAGGCCTTGAGGCGGCCCTGGGTAGAGCGGATCCTCAGGATGGTGGCGATGATGAAGAGGTAGGAGGCCAAGATGAGGGCAATGGGTGTCATGACATTGGAGGTCAAGAGGAAGTACATCAGGGCTTGGTAGCCCTCTTTCCCACCACAAGCCAGTTTCACCAAAGGAAGCAAGTCACAGAAAAAGTCATCAATGATGTTGTCACCACAGAAGTCAAAGGTAAAAGTCTTTTTAGTGATAATGGAAGAGTTAATAAAACCACCTGTATATGATGCTGCTACAAAAAATACACACAGTTTTATAGACATGGCCTGAGAATAAAGCAATGGTTTTGAGATAGCCGTGTAGCGATCATAGGCCATGGCAGCCAGCAGGTAACACTCACTAAAGTCCAGTCCAGCAGAGAAGAAGAACTGAGCCACACAGCCAGCAAAGGAGATACTCTTGTCTTCAGAGATGCAGGTCACTAAGATCTTTGGTGTGTAGACACTGGACAACCAAAGATCCAGAAATGACAAATTTCCAATGAAGAAGTACATGGGTGTGTGGAGCTGAGAGTCATTGCAGATCAATAGGATGAGGGTTGTGTTTCCTAACACAGTCAATGTGTACATGATGAGAAACATTACAAATAGTACCAGCTGCATGACAGGATCAGATGTGAATCCCAACAGAATGAACTCAGTAACTGTGTGATTGCTCCCCTCCATGTATGTAAAGATTGTCACCTTAGAAGAGACAGCAAGGAAATTCTTTTCTAATTAATGTGCTGGATAAATAGTAAGTTTCTGAATAAATAATATTGCACTCTTGATAATCACAGAAGTCTAGTGCTCATTTAGAAAGAAATTTTATTTTCCATCTAGTAATTAAAAATTCCAGTGGATATTTTCTTGTTTTTTAATTTTAAAAACTTAGTTTAATAATTACTTCTTAACATTAGTATTCTTTTTTTAACAGAAAAATTCATTTTAATGCAATTGACATGAAGATGTTTGCACATGCATTTCTAATCTCTATATATCTGATTATTACTAGTCACAGTCTGTTACTTTCTGAGCTCCTTGGCATCTGAGCATGGATATAAAGTCATCAGGTAGATTTCAATGATAATGTTTTTCACATCTACTAATTATTAAGGAGCCAATTTTTATGCTCTGAAGAATTATTATTTTTTAATCATTATTTAAAAGATTTTTAAATAACTACATGATTAGAAGCATTCCACTACAGTTTTAACATATTCAGTACCACACTCCAGAGCAAGAGTACATCTCTTTCACAAGTGGCTGCAATTTCTAGGTTCACAGTTGAATTAATACAGTTATACAATATTGAACTCAAGGGAGGGGGGAGGGAAGGATACACAAGGAACCTAGGGGATAAAGGGAAAGAATGAGCTCAAGAGAGGTAGGACCATAGGAGAAGGGTATTACTAAGAAAGTAGGGAAACAGGGCCACCTTAGGTGGGAAAACTATGATGGAGGGGTGAGACGATGTGAGAGAAAAATAATGCCTAGCTAGTTTTAAAAACCAGAGGGAACCATATTACTCTTACAACCTGACAAATTATACATACCAGATCAAGAAATATATGTCTAGGTAAGGTTTATTTGAGAACAATTGGTCTTTGCCCAAGATTTACCTACATGACACACAGTACTTAAAAGTACCAGACTGGTGGAACTAACCTTCTTAGATGTTAACAGACATACTTTGAGGCCCATACTAATTTGGTCAGAGGGGCATAAAGGACAGCTTTTCCTGCTTGCCCTCCTAAGTCAACTAGTTCCAGGGGACTATGAGCGTCTCTCAAAATATCCTGTAATTGTGATGGGTCACCTGTCCTTCTGATCAAGGAGGCCGAGGAGACCCCACCAGATGGACTTGAACCAGTGTCCAGTCTACAAAGAGGAGGGTCAACACAGAGGAATCACTTCCTCCATGTTTCCAAGTGAAGCCAACCAAGGTTGAGCAGGACCTTTGACTTATCTTCACATAGGTGGAACTGGTAAAAGAAAGGAGCCAGGGGCTCCTCCTAAGCCCATGTGACCCCTGAGGAACAGATCCTCAAAAGGCCTTAGAGTAAAAATAAATTGGTTTACCTGGACCAACTGTATGGCCTTAAATATACAAAAGGAAAGTATAACCAAAGATTAAAGGGGACAATATAATTTCTTAAGAGTCCATATGCATAGCTAAAGGCTACATAACAAGCAACAATGCCAGACAGGCGATACCTTCTCTTGAGTTGTTGGCCAGGGTGGCCAAAGGGACTCCCAGATAGTAACCCAGCATAGAACTTGGAAAATGAACAGCGGACTCCAATCTTATCTAAAGGAATATTGACAACTGTTTGCTGCTAGATTGAGGAACAGCTGACTCTCCTAAAAGACCTCTAGACAGGCTGACTAGATTCACCAGAAGGGCAAGTAGTAGGGGCTGGCTGGGGGGTGCCAATAATACAGCAAACAGCAGCAGGGATATCAGAGTATAAGGGCTATAGTGTGGGGAGGGAGTCTATGGGAGGGTGCCATCTGGGAAGTGGGTGTATAGTTGAATAAGATGTTCAGCTTTTATTAGATGTTCTGTGTAATATACACACACAAAAATCAACAAATTAAAAAAGTGTATTATATTTGAGGAGGAAGCATGGAAATTTCATCATATTAATTCGTAGAGGTGATAAACATTTCCATTGAAATCTACCTGATGACTTTATAGACATACACAGGTGCCAAGGATTCAAATGCAACTGATTATGACTAGTAATAATCAGATACATACAGGTTAAAGATGCATGTGCCAACATCTCAGTGTTAGTAGCAAAAACAGAGTCTTTCTGCAAGGAACAATATATTCTAAAATGAAATGGAGACCTTTTTTTAAAGGTTAAAAATTCATTCATTTTTAGGTCTTACAGGGCTTTTACTGAGTTCAATATTGTATAACATTAGTATTCTTAACTACCAACCTCAATAAATAGGCTTATTTCTGAGTAAAATACAGAGTGGTGTAGTGTTGTTCCACCGGGCTGTCATAACTGCTAGGATACTGCAAGTTTAATGCCCTCATATGACTAAATTCAGTATTTAAATCAGGATCTCATCTGATTTGATCTTTCTGCAGTATTTGATATGGTGTTTGTGAATCAATTCCTGTACCTTTTTTCTTATCCTGAACAAGTCCCTGGAAAACACATGTTTCTTGGTGACTTCAGATGCTCTGCACATTTGAATGATTTTAGTGAAATGTCTCTTCTGTGCTTCTCCCATACACTACAGATATATGAATTCAAAGCCTCTGGTGTGTGGTCTACCTAGAATCTTAGGTAAGAATGAACTACTGAGAACTGTTCCTGAATTCCTCCTTTTTCATTCTTCCAAAGTGCAGACAATTGTGTAATAATTCCAGACTATAGAAATTAATTTACTTTCATTCTTTACTGAGCTCTAGTTTTCACACTGACTGTGATTAATTACTACAGTTTGCTCAGAACCTGGCTGGATTTTTTCAACTCCAAAATTTTCCCCCTACATGAAGCCACTATTATTCGCACCAGAATTATTGTGAAAATCCCCTGTTGTCTCCTACCTCTCTCTATGTTCTGTAAGTCAACTTGGCATCCAGAATGTTTCTGTGAAAATGACTGTTTATCATGTTATAATTTTGTTCTAAGCATGAATTACTCTTCAATTTATTTGGAGTAATGTACAAAATGCTTACAGAGACTTGGAAACTCTATGTGCCTGGTGCTTGTTACTCTCCGTCTTTGTCAGGCCCTGGTTTACCTCTCTGTGAAGTACTCTATATTTTCTTCAGTGCTGTCGTTTACGCACTTTCTATTTTTGTAATATATAGGACATGTTCAAATCCTTCCTATCTATTCCCCCTGATGTTGGAATACCTTTTCCCTTTTATAGCTAGAACCTTCAAATTCTCAGTTTTTTAATGGTCTTTTACATGACCTTTAAATGTGTTGTCCAAACAATTCACTGTAATCTACACCCTGACCTTTGATCTCTTTCCAACTTTGCTATCCTCTGACCACTGCTCATTATCCATGACCACACATATCCCATTACTTTGACTTCCTTCTTTCCTCTCTATTTGAAAATACTCTCCATTTTTACTTGATAGAAAAGTTCTATCACGTAATGTGTATATTATTTTGACCTTAACTCTTACTGTGTACTTACATGGGTTGTTTATTTTAACCCAAACCATGAATGTAAATTAAGAACAGATTTTTAGCGCAGTCTATGAGCACTGAAGGATTTTCGATAGGAAAAAGCTGAAAACTTCTGGATTTAATCTAATTTTAATGTCTTCTGAGTATAATTTTCTCAGCTTCTCATTGTGTTCCTCATATTTATCACTAAAAGAAATTGTCAGCTAGGCGTAGTGGTACATGTCTTTAATCCTAGCACTCTGGAGGCTGAGGCAGATGGATTTCTGTAAGTTCAAGGACAGCCTGGTCTACATAGAGAGTTTCAGAACAGCTGGTGCTACAGGGAGACCCTGTCTCAAAAAGACAAAAAAAAATAGTAATTGCCAATTAATTTGAACAATTTATTATGAGTTATGCATTGTTCTTAGAATATTTTCTTTACTCCTCAGAGCATCTGTGTCCTTTATCTTTAAATATGAATGACAATAATTTCACAGATCACCAAATTAAGATTTACTAAGCAAGTAACAATAGCACAATAGCAAGTGGTGATCTCTTTCTACTTCACCAGAAATTTGCCTTCTTTCATCCCTTGATAACAGGTTAGAGTTGATGGAATTTTTGTTAGCCTTAAAAACTTAACTCTAAGCCAAGAAGCTAACCTAGAAAAATACACGTGCAAGTGCCACACGAATATGATTTTAATAGGCATTTCCCACAACTGCCTAAATCATCGAAAGATACCTGTCTTTCATAGGGAACACAGCTAATGACACCAGAAACCTTCTAGCATCACCACCTCAGGTAGAACACGCACCTGCAACTCTCTCAGTCACGACCAACAAAAGATCACATGGTAGATACAGGCAACTTATTCCTGCTCAGGTTCCCCTGTGCATTTGATTTCTCAGGCACCTCTGGGGTTCACAGCTTTGATAGTGTCTGCAAAGACAATTAAGCAAAATGTGCTTACAGACATGTCCTTGCTTGTTCAGTGCAAAAGAAGAAAATGATTAACAAAGGATTTTTATTGTTCTTGTTTAATAAACTATTATTAATGTTTATTACCTGGGAAGTTTTAAATAATATTTTCAAAAATAAATATTTCAAAAAATCTTTGAACTATCTCTTGCAATTCATATTATTTTCAAGCAAATACATAAAGAAGTAATTATCTGGACAAAATCAGACTTAGAAATAAGTGAAATTGGATTTTGTACCAATATCAGTTTAAAATTCATGGCTAAACCCTTCATCTAATGATGTTTCAGACAAGGATAATATTTAAAAATTTTTAATCTATTTTTATTGCAACAGATGGAGACTATAACAGAATTCCACAACTGGTCACATACAGAGAATAACTATCTCTTGGATACCATGCCCTAAGGGACACATCTAAAATAGAACCAGTATACCTAAGACTCATGGAACATAGTGGAACAAGGGGTGGAGAGAATATTAATGCATTAATACATCTCCCAACTCTCAACAATGAAAATTCCTCATGCAACAGAAGGTGATGCACACAGAAGTCCA